AGACCATTTACTTGTAGTACAAAGATGTCACAATCACTCTTGTTCATCAGATTTTAAATCAGCAGTTGTAAACGTGCCATTGATTCGACTAAAAGTTCAAAAAAAAAAAATTGAACTTCGTGACACACCCAAAGCCATCCAAATGGACATCTAAGGGCTGGGAGTGATTGTGACCTCTTGGTAATAGTAATAAATGCTCTCATAGTGTACAATCCCAAAATAATATTGATCTCCATCAAGAAATGCAATGGGTGGTCCACAAAAAAAAATACAAAATAAATCATTTTTAAAACTGCAAATCCATTTTTTTCTTGGAGATTCATTGCAGAGTTTTAAGCCAACAACTTTTCCCCAGCGTTAACTTTTGAAGGGTTTTAACACCATGTGATTGCACAAAATGTTTTTCCCACACTTTACAATGTCAAGTTGCTCACAATTGCGAGCACCAATAATGATTGATTTAGCGAAAATCGTTCAAAGGAGGATATATCCAAAAGAACAATACTACTAGTCAACTTCTATTTCTTTTTATGGTAATTAGAGACAATTTTGTATAATGATAATCAACTACGTCAATTATGGCAACTCAATAAAACATTTATTCACTATTTTTAGAAAAAACACATGAACACAAATGCAGCTTTTCTAAGGGTACAATGTCAAACTTTGTTTGCTATTCAAAATCTGAATCTTTGTGTTGTATGTTCTTTGTTATTATTTCAAATTTCATAGGGGCAAATGCATTCTCATGAATTGCTTAAGAGGTAATTTCTTGGGTTATTTTAAAAAATCAGTCATTTCACAAAAAAATCAAGGGCAATTTTGGTTGATATATAAAAGGAGGACTCCTAAGAAAAATAAATGACAATAAATAATTAAAGTAATTTGAAAGAGAAAGAAAAAAAAATATCATTCTTCCCTATGTATGTGAGGGTCCATAAATTGAAGTATTGATATGTTTAGAGCTCATAAAGTATGAAGAATAAGAAACATCGGGAAATATCACCATATTTCAATAATACTTTTTTAATATATCCTAGATTGGGGATAAGAAAATGGAGATACTGCAAGTGCAGTTTTCTTTCCCTTTTCTTTTATATAGTAAGAAGTAAAAATAATATTTTCATGTCTCCATGCGACAACCCCTGAAGTCAGTATTCAACTGAAGTATATAAAACTAAAAGTTTAATTTAAGAAAAAGTGTTTCATGAGTCAGCGGATTCATAAGCCCGCACAATCACAAACATCTATCTTTAAGATGAACATCCACAACTAAAGATTTCTATCCAATGGATAGGAAAATATTCTAATAAAAATATTCTGTAATTGTATTTTATTATACTTTTTTTTATATATTCATGATCAATAGTGTAGATCATGAATTACTACAAATTTAGATCCAAGATCGATAGAAATAATGGGTGTTCAAGGGGCCCGCATGAAAATAGTACAAGTCAGAGGACTCATAATAACCGGGTCCTTTATTTAATTCCCTAATAGCATCAATAGTATATGCTTGTAAGAAATATTAATGGCAATAAGAAAGCTTCAATCATTTAAACGATATCCATTAAATTTATCACTCCCGTTCAACTACTTACGAAGTCAATTCTAGTTAATATAGAGAGAGGGTTAGTGTGTTCAACTGCTTACGAAGTCAATTCTAGTTAATATAGAGAGAGGGTTAGTGTCTAATAAGTAAGGGTGGCAACGGGTCGGGTCCTTGTCTTGATTGGCCATCCCATCCCAGCCCCCGAGGAGGGAAACAGAAAAAGAAAAAAATAAATAAAGAGGGCAAAGCCGGACTACATTAATCGTAGCTACGTTTGTGTGTGAAGCCCTATTTATTTTTAGAGTCAGGCCTGCCTGTGCCCATTAATAGGGCTGGCAATGTTTTCAACTAGACTTCGGATATACTTGATCTCGTGTTTGGGTCGTCATCATCATCATTTAAACATTTTTCAAATTAATTGGGATCGGTTACATGAATTCTAGTTTTCCATTCTGTTCTATTAAATGTCATATCCTCAGTGAGGCTACAAGTCTCAATATCTTTTCGAATTACTTCCAACCATGTCATTTTGAGCCTACCCCTTGCCCTTTTCAGTCTTTCCACTTGAACTAACTCTCACTTCCTAACAGGTGATGTACTTGGTCGATACCTATTGGTGCCACATCTAAATTCTTTCAAATAAATTCATTTCGAATTCTATCATTTATTGTCTTGCCACTTATCCATTTCATTATCCTAATCTCCGCTACACTCGTTCTATAGATATATTGTTTTTTGTTCGCCCAACATTCCGCCCCATAGAGCAAAGCTGGTCTCACCGTTGTCCTATAGAACTTGCCCTTCAGCCTCATTGGTATGCAAAATAGAAAAACACTTCCCATATTTATCATAAAACATAATTTTATTAAAAAATTATAATTTTATGAAAAACTAATTTTATTAAGTAAAATGGAAAACCAATTCCCATATTCATCAAAATTAAAAAAACATAATTTTATCAAAAAATCATAATTTTGTTATGCAAAATAGAAAAACAGTTCTCATATTCATCAAAAAACATAATTTTTTATTTTAAAAAATAATTTTATTTAAAAGATAATTTTATTAAGCAATATAGAAAAATCTTCCCATATTGATAAAAAAACATAATTTTACTAAGCAAAATGATTTTTCTTAGAAAAATCAATTTCTCAAAATGTGAGAGATAATTTGAAATTAAGATCACTTTTGTAAAACTCTCTCTCTCTCTCGCTCTATGGAATCGGGCCAGATTGGGATCGGCCAGTGATTGATCCTGAGTTAGTTGGCCGATTTTTTAAAAATCGGCTAATCTTTTAAAGACTATTTCCGTAACATTCCAAAAACCTTGATAGAAAAAACAAAAAAAAAACAAAAAAAGAAAAAAAAGAAGAAAAAAAGAGAAGAACCAAGTACATACAAGATGATGGTGTAATGTTTCATTGAACATAAGGCAACCAAAATTTTTACATGCACTTAAAAAAACATAATTACAGATATAACTATATCATGCACTTAAAAAAACATAATTAAAAAAAATCGAGCGACATTATCATGCACTTATCAAAAAGAAGAATCAATTTCATCAAAAAAATAATTTTATAAAAAGAATAATTTTATAAAAAAGAATAATTTTATAAAAAAGAATAATTTTATTAAGCAAAACAGAAAAACACTTCCCATATTCATCAAAAAACGTAATTTTATTAAAAAATCATAAGTCTATTAAAAATAATTTTAGTAAGCAAAATAGAAAAACATTTCCCATATTCATCAAAAAATGTAATTTGATTAAAAAATCATAATTCTATTAAAAATAATTTTATTAAGCAAAATAGAAAAACACTTCCCACATTCATCCAAAAACATAATTTTATTAAACAAAATATTTTTTTTAGAAAAATCAATTTTTCAAAAACCCCAAAAATCAAGCAACATTTCGAGCAAGAAACGACTCTTGATGTTTGGATAATTGAACAAATAAACATACATGCATTGTAAAGGCTTCGATCATCTTTCAAACGCACCAAATCTCATCAAAAAATATTCGTCATTTTTAATTTAATTGAAAAAAAGGCAGAAATTCAAGATATATGAAATTTTCATGATATGATGCAACGAAAGCATTCATATAAAAACATTTAATTAATCATAAATAGACATACCTATTTTATTTGAGAGATCAAGCATTGATCATAAAAATCCACAAGTCAATTTAATAAAAAATGACCAATAAATATATCAAAAATATGTGTTTGTTGATCGAATACAAGTTCTTTGAGCAGCAGCATTTCGGGCCAAAATCAACCTATAATATTTGGTTTTATGAACAAATTGAAACATAAAATCTGATGGATAATTCAATTATCTATCAAAATCACCAAATTTCTTCAAGAACCATTAGGTAATGAAGAAATTATTGAAATAATGGTGGAAATTTTCAAAAACCTAAAAAATCCGCCATTTTGATCCAAGAAACTCTTTTTTCTTCGATGTTTCAATCCAAATTTCTTGTTTTATACATTATATATAGTGATTTACGGCAATAAACCACGAAAAATGGCCAAGAAAAGGCACAAAAACAGATAAAAAAAAGTGAAAATTTGGATTCAAGAATGCCTATTAGAAATAACTGCTTCGATTTTGAAATAACAACCGTAATGGGTACATTACCAATATTTCGTAAAAATGATCGTTATATCGTCTAACCAGCGCTGTTAGTATAAAACCGGCCAGTTGCACTTAAAAACTACAGGTTCGACCTCTAACAAGTCGTTTTTGGGCCAGAAATTTTTTCAGAGTATACACTAGGCTACTAGTACCTCTAAACCGGCCATAACTGGAGTCGAAATCATGGCGGTTCCGATCTGACCATCTGGTTTCGATTCAAACCGGCTTGGTTTTGCAAACAATGATGTAGTTATAGGTTATATGATGACATTCATGTATCTTTAGGCAGATGCTAAAGGTGCATATTGTCGTAATGTTGACAACATTTGCAATATTATTGAAAAAGATAAAAAAAAAGAAAAAAAAAAAAAAAAAAAAACTCATGGTCGTAAGATGTATGATGGTAAAAAAAAAGTCAAAATAATAATAAAAAAGCCAAAAGTAATAGGGTGGCGATGGATAGGCCAGGACTCCAAATCTTGAACTTGAATACCATTCGGGTTAGCGCCAGCCTTGGCCATCAGTCAGAAGCCGCTGGGGAAGAGAGAGAATGCATGGGACGGGTGGAGAGAGTCTGGAAGAGAGGGAGAAAATGCAGCATGGAAGAGAGGGAGAAAATGCAGCATGTGTCGAGGAGAATGCATATGTGTTGATGTGAGAAAAAATGGGTAATGATGAAAAAGGTCCATTGAAAGGGAGACACGTTTTTTTGTTTCTTAATGAGTAATGAAATCAGCATTTGCCTTTCAAACCAGGTTGTGGAAAGAGACAGGGGAAGAACTGTCCAAAACTTTTATCTTTTTCCATTAGCTCTCCATTCACGAAGATGGGATGTGAAAAGGGTTAAAAAATTGTACGGTAAATGCTACTTTGTGGGTTTTCCTCCGCCCATTCAAATCACGTTTATGAGGTGGCTTCCATGAGAGAGAGCGAGTTTGACAGAGACGGGGGAATATGCCACTTTGTGAGAGAGTATTACCCATTTTTTGGAATTGATTAGAGAGAGAGTCCTTTATGAGAGAGGAGTATTACCCATTTTCAGGAATTGATTAGAGAGAGAAAGTGAAAGATGAATGCCCATTTAATAATTGATTATGGGAACCCCACTTTCAGACAGACTCAGAGAGAGACGGGGGAGGTGAGACCCATTTTAAAATTGATGAGAGAGAGAGGTCTGGCCATTAAAATTAAAGAAGTGAAGAATTGATGGAGGGCGCCCGACATCGAGATCAAAGTCGCTGTGCAGTAAAAACGTGATTTTGTGGTGAGGATGGTACTCAGAGCTTCGTTTGTTCGGTAGTGGTAGGCCTTACCCTTCATTTCTCTTCATTTTTTTTTTCCTCTCCTCTCTCTCTCCACAATTTATGCGGTGGAGTGGGTTATAGGATGCTGATTATCAGGCTCCTCTTTTCACCGAAGCCATTCTTTCAGTTAGTTTACTTTTGGGGTTCATCAGTTCCTCAGAGAGCGCTGGACTGATACACCATTTCACCATATCTCTGTTGATTAAACAGAACAAACTCATTCTCCACAGCAGAAAGAGAAAAAGGTCCCATAGAAAGAGAATTAGAGAAAAGCAGGTGTATCGTCAATTCGGCGGGCTTTTATGGGGTCCCTTTTCTGCTTGGCTTTGAGGCATTTTTCCGACAAAGTGTGATCATTTTTGGCCGGTGGATGAATGGTGGTTCATTGATTTTGACGAAACCAAGAAATTGTCAACTGGGAATTCGATGGATCCGTCCATTGAGAATGAAGGTAGCGATAAGGGGAGCATGTGGGTTCTCGATCAAAATCTCGACCAGCCCATGGATGAAGAGGCTGGTCGGCTTCGGAGCATGTACAGGGAGAAGGTGAGAGAGCTCAATTTCTCTACATACAACCAACCTTAGTGAAGTTATGTAAAATTTTTCAGGTCCCCACTTCGTCTCTTGCTTGTATGAATCCACCTTTCTTTTATTTTGCTTCACTTAAGGGATATGGCGTAATCATATGTTGAAACAGATTTGGGGTTGTTTACTTTCTATTTAGTTCATCTGCTGAAATCGATTACTGGAATGGAAAGATTGGTGAATTTCATGGTGGTTGTCTCTTAAGACACTATGCTCTTCATTGTTACAAAGGGTTCCTAATATGGAGTATTGTATTATGATAACATGTGTAAAGCTGATTACAAGTGAAGTTATTTCTTAGAAGCTCTTTTCAAATGAACAGAGTTTCTACAGAACCATGTAAATTTCTCTGGCAGTTGACTTGTGATTTGGCTTATACATAGGCTGTCAAGATTGCTAAATGGTGTGTGTGTTAGGCTGTCAAGATTGCTAAATGGTGGGTGTGCGTGTCAGAGAGAGAGAGAGAGAGAGAGAGAGAGAGAGAGAGAGAGGAAGGAATAGTAGTAGTATAATAGTACGTAGTCGTACGTACTACACTAGTCGTCTTACTTTACTTAAGTAAAAGAAAAGAGAGTAGTCGTCTTACGTTACGTAC